TATATTAAAATTTTTATTTTATTAAATGTTTATATTTAAGTTTTGTCGGATGATAAATTAATAATTCGTTATCAATAAAAATTATTTAAGTGAATATAACAAATTAAAAATATAAAAATGCRCTTTATAAATGATAAGTATATTTCATGTCTGAAATCTAAATATTTTTGTAATGTTGATAAATTAGTCAATCCATTTTGATTATTAATTTATCTGTACGTAATATGTTATTTATATTATTATAAGTATATCGTAATTCACAATGCGGCAATACTTTTTAGTTTTTAAAATATTTGTACAAGTAATGAATTATATAAATGAAAAAAATTCATGTTTAAATCAGCTAACTAAAATAGTGAAATAGTATAATTGTATCATTATGCATTATATGTAGACATAGGTTAAATATCTAGGAAGTATCTAATAAAATAATAATTATAAACATACTAAACTGATTTAAAATATACCTAAGTTTAAAAAAATGTATTATTTCAAAAATATATAGTTTTTTATAAATATAAATCTAATATTGTGATGTGGATTTTAAATCCATATTAAAATAAGTACCTTTATTATATTATTTTTATACAAAATGTAATTATTAAATAACACACTACTTAAGATTTATCATTTATTGTTGCACCTATTTTTCTACGTACCTATATAATATTGTGTAGGTACAATAATACGTTTTTGTGCTATTTATATACGCTTTTATCTGTTATCATGACTTGGGTAGGTACTACATAATATTATGTTTTGTAGCAGTCATTAATAATAGGACTTGGGTACATGATTATACAAAAAATAAAAATAAAAATACGATGTTTTTGTTACTACAGTGACGGCGATTTAGCAAGGTTTTTTTTATTACATGAATAATGCATTAAGGAAATATAATTTAAACGTACATGGACATTGAACATATTATTCAAACTATATGGTTGTCGTGTACTCGTGTCTTTTCGACTTACATCTCGCATACCTACGGTTACATGTAAACTAAATACATATACATCTATTTAATTGTATAACAAATATAATATGTATTTTTGGAACCGGTAGCTATGAGTATTATACTGTACCGAGTAGGGGACCATGTATACTCATGGTATTATCACACTATCACAGATTATATATTATAAATATTATATTCTATTTATAAGTCTATAAAGGTTGGGRTAAAGCTAAATTTAATAATTTATCATCATAATGTAATCAGTATTCACTAGATATAAAGATCATTTATAAATTGTCTGACTATATAAATTTAAGTATTATTTTGTTGATTAGGTATT